ATATATATATATGCGCATGTGCGCAGGGATGTATCGCAAACACATACTCGGATATTAATGGAAATATTCATACTTTTTGGCTCGAGTATCTCTTGTGTTTTGAACACATGTGTATGATAATACATATTTGTACACTGTATATTTGTATATATACATGATTATGTGACCGTGTAGAACGTGTTCTTATATGGACATGCAATCGATACCAGTACTACTTAGGCATTCGATTCGGTTTCTTATCATTGGATGCTCTATTAAATTGGTATGTTGTGAAAAAGAATGAATTTCGCATACTTGGCATAATCAGCCAGTTCTCCTGTTCGCACTTTTTAAGTTTTATAATAATGTGCTCAGCTGTGTCTCATCCTTCTTTATGTGTCATCGCTAACCCTCTCTCCACTGAACTATCCGTCTTTAGGTGCAAGAGTTCTTCACGTTGATGTGCCACATGTTACCCCGATTGCCCCATACGGATTTGTATCGCAGTCTCGGCTCAGAGGGGTGCAAAGGCGGACACGCGAAAGGAGATGTGAAGGCAAACGTCGACTATAGAGCACTGGCTCGACAATGGATCCCCGTGCTTGTTGAGGTGAGTATTGGACGATTCATCTATAGTGCAAACGATTCTTCTATAGTTAATGAGAGTTTGTTTTCCATTTGCCTAATGACACAAATAGTTCACTCTGCGTTCGGGTGACATTTAATTAGCAAAAAATTTCCTAGCCTTATGCTAAGTGGCAGTGCCTGTGTTGGTCTATCTACGGCCAGCGTATGTTTCTGACTAACTTTTGCATCGCGCACATATTTGCTGGTGATGGCTGTATCATATGAAGCGAAAAAAAATACTATTTTGATTCCTTACTTCCCCTGGTCATCCTTGCGTCTCTGTATATTTTGTCTTGACGGAAAGCCACAGTAGCTCATCTATTCCAAAAGTGCGTGGCTGTTCTTTACTATAGTTCACGACAATTAACTGGTCCTTATTTTATTAAAAAAAATGGATCATGCTCCAGGTACACGTCTCCATGTTCAATCTCGCACTACAAGAGTCCTGCTTGTCGTTGCTGCTCAAGATACTAGTCTGTGTATGTGAAGAAGACAAGAAAGGCGCACACCACACTCAGGCCGAACAAGATGAACTATCCGCTTGTTTATCAGAGCTCACGGCGTCGTTCATAGCCTCATTACTGAAGACGTCGCGTGCGTCGCCCATAATGTTCGGCATCGCCATGGCAACCACGCTGCTCAAGCGGGTGCCCAACGTGTACATGGCAGCCTTCCTACGCGAGGGCGTGGCGCATGAAATGCAGCGTCTTAAAGTGGCCGAAAGTGCCAAGGAATCGAAGCACAAGAGCGGTGACCACGGCTCGTCCAGCAAGACTTCGGGTGTGAAAAAACGGGCCAGTGTAGAGGGCAGTGACAAGCAGCGCAAGTGGATCAAACGGTACGCCGGCGAGTTCATGGCTGTGCTGCAGGCCGATTCGTCGGCATCGTCACTTCTGTCGGAGCAATCGGCGACCAATGCCGCGCTTGCTACCCTGGTGGATGCACTAAACAACGCAAAGAACGGTGCGTGCCTGTCTCTCACAATGTGCACACAGTGTGATACCGACGTAGTAGCTTGTTGTTGGATGTAGCTGCAGTCATGTGCGTTTGCGTTGGTGGCTTGCGGATTGGCTGCGTGTACATGTGCGAATATCAAGTAATTGATCTGACTACGATCTCGGGCGTATGCACTTCTGTATATGCACATTTATTTTGGCATGTGTATATATGAGTGCGCTGGAGATGTGTCTTTTGTGCACCTGAATGGCTTCTGATCTGAATCAGCACTTTTCAAACACCGGATAGCATAACATTCTCAGACTATCACTATCTCATTGTAGCGCTGCGTAAATTACTGTAAGGGTCGCAGCAACAGTTAATTAGCTAAACCCTTTTAGTACAAGGCCATTCAGAGATTTTCTAGTATTTACATACGTTCACAAGCGTCTTATTTGTCCGCAGAATCGCTACTAACACAGTACACCCTTTTTTGGATGGGCCGAACAGGTGACTCCCAGGGCCTGCGACTGCTGCGTGATATCATCACCACACAGCATCCGGCGCTGTCGGCATATGAAGTGAACAACAGTGGTCTTGTTCCTGCTCTGTTGTCGTACTTCTCTGTTTCTGAACCCGCACACCGATTGGAGCGTCTGCGTGCGTTCGTGAAGTTATTTCTCACGCCCACGCGTGTCCAGTCCAGCACGGCGCGAGCGATGTCCGTCGATGCCGATGCCGCAGTGGACAATTACGCAGGAATTGTCGATGGCAGCGAAGGCCCTCCGGCGATGAAGACACTCTTGCGCATGCTGAACGACGTGCTTTCGCGCGTGGAAACATTCCCACTGCAAATTCACAATGTAGTGGCCAGTGACGGGAGTCCGTCGAGTTTCAGCAACCATCTCAAGGTGCTCACTCAGCCCGTGAAGATCAAGCTAGAGAGGGCCGCCGGCCAGAGTGCGAAACTGCGCGAGTTGAAGAAAGTGGTCGCGGTGGAGCCCATGGCGTCGATGTCGGCTATCGAGGACTTCCTCTGGCCAGAAGTCAGGCCGAAAGGTGCGTGCTTAAAATGTAGCTTGTCCTAGAGTTCTGGTAGCTCCAAAAAAAAATCGTTTTAGCTGGGCTCTTGTGCGTAGTACTCTAGCTTTCGCTATGTGCGAGATTTGGCACATTCCGGAAATGTTGAGTGGGTTGAGTAGCTATTTTTAATAATATCGGCCTCTCAAGTGGCGCCTATAGGTGTAGACTTTGTTTTTTTTTTTTCGAGTTATTTACAGGACAATTGTCGGGCACTAATTAATGAGCTTTGTTACTAGGCGGCCTAGATACCATAAGTGTTAAGTTGTATTCGCTTGCTATTGTGTGTCTACATCACGTTTGACTATTTATCCACTGCCGTCCCGATACACGTCTGATTGTCCCGCTCACTCGTGCATATACACTCTTACCTTAAAGATACAATAACATATACACTCTTACCTTTTAGATACAATAACCGGTGCATCTGAAAGCAGCGCAAGCAATCGGCTGGGCGATCTCGCACGCGCGCTCGAACGTATGAACCGAAACGGAACAGATGTCGACGATGTCACAACAAAGGACTCCGACGAGGTCGCTGATGAACCTTCCGATGATGCAGACACGGATACCGTATGTTTGCTATTTGCAGACTAATTAGTTTTTGCTTGGTTTGTAATAAGAATTGCCGTGGCTCTAGTTGGTATCTATTAGTTCTGCCTTCTCCTATGATAATGTTGACGTGCTTTCGTGCTTCCTCAGTTACTGCCGTATATATCGCGTACATGCGCGGAAATAGTCTATGCATGCATTCACGTTTTAAAATCTTTAAATACGTTGTTGCTATATAAATCGAGCTTACCTCGTCGGGCGCACGCCGTTGTCGATAATGATGTCCAGCTCAGAGTTATGCCTGCGTATAGTTTGGATGAGCGATGGCTTCGCAAGTGGTGGTGCTTTGGCCCTATTGCATGACGTAGTGCAGCTCACCTTGTGCAAGACCATGCACATCATTTACCAGCTATGTACACACACACACACACCATGCGCAGAAAGCCGATGGGGGCAGCGATACGGAAAAGTTTGCTCAAGCCGAAGATGCGAGGGGTGATAAAGCGGACACAGATGCGAGTGCTGCAACGAAACCACAAACACGTTCGCAAACCAAAGCCCGTGCAGAGGTCGATACTAAGCCAGATACAAAAGACGACAAGATACCTTCACCCCCAAGGGCATCCGCACGCACGCAGTCACACCCCCTGCATAGCACGTCCAAGACCCTGGAGAGCCGGAAGTCTAAGATCAAGAAAGAAAAGCCGACGGAGCCGAAGCTAGACTTCTTTGTGGATGGGCACTTGCTGGATCACAAGACTACTGTATTGCACTGTTTACAAAAGTATACCGATTTCTCTAGTCGAGAGCATAAGGTGAGCAGACCTAGCAGCGTGCACTTATTACAACTGTTCATACGTCTGTGTGTGTATGTGTAGTTGTCCTTTCTATTTTCTATCTACGCCCGCCGGGCCTTTCTTGTCAGCCGATCAGCATAATCGTTTGGAAGTGTAGGTTACAACTGTGAATTTGGACGGTTTGAGAGTAGTTTTTGCATGCATTCCTTTATCAACAACATTAAGGTGGGTTCAGCACACATGGTGGATTCTTGCTGATCCTCTGAACCTATTCTGTGTTTATGTATAATTCGGTTACTAATGACTAATTACACTGCGCGATGTGGGATTCGTGCATCAGGCGGTGTCAGAATATGTCAAGGACTCTACTAATCGCGTCACGCTGTCTGCATCATTTGGAACAGGTACCCGGGACAAGCCAAATGAGCCGAGGGTCCTCGCAATGGTCTTCATCGAGCAACCTCTCCGGCGATAAGGAGTTCGTCATCACCTATGCCATACGTGAGGTGGACCAACCAGACACCTTCTCGCGCAACGCCCTGTCCAGCGTACACACTCCTGCGGCGCCGTACACGTCCGCGTGTGCAGCCTCGGCCAATAGCTCGGAGGAGAGCTCGAGTGCAGGTGCCGTAATAGGCAGTCGGAAACGCGCGCTGTCGGTGGACGGTATCCGGGTGCATGGACCGGAAGACAGCTACCTGCATGTGTTCAACGACGTGTTGGAGTGGGATGAGAGCGATACGAAGCAGTTCATTATCACGGATGGAGCGACGATACACACTATAAGAATCCTGCGGCTCGTGCATTCGGTCAATTCGAGGTAGGTCGTTTGTCCTGTGTGTGCAAGCGTGTGTGCAATGAGCACGCCTGTGCAAAAATGCGCCAGTAGACACAGCTGGAAAGAAGTGTAAGTGAACAGGTCCGTTGCTTGGCCTCAAAACGGAAGTATCTGATGTTCCTATTACTTCTTTTGGTTCATTGGCTGTCTGAAGATGGACGGCATTGATTGTAGCTGCAGCCATCGCCACCGTCACATCCTCTGTTTGCACGTAATATGTGCATTCTTAATCGACACCAGTCTGAAAGCTGTAATACTCAAGTCTATAAATCTATGACAGGACTGCTAGTCAATCTGCGATCGACGATCGAGATGAATGATTTTTTAAATTGTCACTTTATACAAGACCGCGGCTCATGTCGTTCAGATAAACTTCAAGCCACAAATGTCCGTCCGTGGTTTGATCTTGATGCACCGCACCACCCCCTCAACAAGTTAATGGACAGAAATAGAGGCTCACTGCTGGCCTTATACTCTCGACCCATGCTTACATAAGAACGCTCGTTCCCACTCTTCACAGGTGGTATCTGCTGTACCCGAGACAAGAAGCCCTGGCCATGAGAGACCAAGTCAGGATATTGTCAGGAAGCGCCTTCAAAAACAAAACACTCAACGCCAAAATTTGTCGACAATTGATTGATCCGCTCACGCTTGCGAGTGCCTCAGTACCCGAGTGGTGTGATGCTTTATGCCACAGGTATGCTGAACATGAAGCGTGGTTGGGGTGACGTATATTTGTATGTATATGTGTATACTTGTGTATGTATATGTATATGCATGTATATGTGTATACTTGTGTATGTATATGTATATGCATGTATGTATGTATGTATGTATGTATTATGTATATATATATATATATTTATATATGCACTGTGCGCGCTGATGAGTGTCCGAGTTGATTCATTGTCAGCACTGGTGTCTTCCTCAAACCGACCATAATATACCATCATGCTATATAATAGCGCGTTCTCGTCTGTGTATAAGGATGGTCTGGCTTGCAGGGTTGTGTTTTCACTGTTCAATAGGCCGACCATGGTACTGTGTACATGCACACGCTGTGGCACGCCGCACTAGTTAAGTGGCACCCTCGCTTAAATTGTTTACATATTGCGCTATATTGGCTGGATGGTTTGTGAGAGACTCACATTCGCGTATATCATTGCCACCAGATGCGGATTCCTACTACCGATGAAGACGCGTCAGTCGTATCTGCACGCGACAACGTTTGGCATTGCGAGAGCACTGACGAATCTGCAGAAGCAAACGGAACAGAGCGGTGGCACACAGAAGGCGGAGCTGAGGATCGCCAGGATACAACGTGCTAAGGTAAGGCGAGCGATACATTGCAGCACTGCACCACGCGAGAGCAGGCGGATAAGTGAGACGTCTATTTGCTGCCGTGCGCAATCGTCCATACTGGGGGAAGTGGATTCCTGTGCATTTGCTTGCGATTGCGAATCTCTGTGTGGGGTAGTTTAGTAAGCACGGTTGTATTGTATTGCCCGAAGATTTTGTCCTCATTCTGTTTGTACATGCATATCCGCAGGTCAAAATAAATCGTGATTCGATGCTGGACGCCTGCAAGAAACTTATGAGTCGATATGCCTCGTCGCACATGATGTTGGAGATTGAGTACAAAAACGAAGTTGGGACTGGACTGGGGCCAACGCTCGAGTTCTACACGCTGGTATCCCGCGAATTCCAAGCAGACGAACTGGCCATGTGGCGCGAAAAGCAACAGACTGTCGGTAATGTGGCCATTCGGATGTATCGTGGGTGTAGTCGGAGTACGTCAGCTTCCACGTCAATGTGATGCGTTTCTCCGTTGTATTTCAGTTTTCAAAGTGGGGTTGTGGGAGATATTTGCGTGCATAGTTTAAAGTTATGGTATAATAACTCTGATGTGTCACAAGCGTCTTGATTGGCGATCGTCGACGGCACGCATGCGGCGGAACACAAGGTAGTTCGACTTGCTCGAATATGCGTAGTCTGATAACACTATTCTCGTACACGAAGGAATAAGACGGACATCATGCACATCATCACCGCCTTATTAACATGCCGCTGCTTGTCGTTTGTGATGCAGGTTTATATCCTGCGCCGCTCCCGACAGACATCAAGTCGTCAAGAAAGCGTTGCCGTATGTTCAGAACTCTGGGTCAGTTTGTGGGCAAGGCACTTTGGGATTCCAAGATGATTGATATCCCATTTTCTCAAACCTTGCTTCGGTGGTTGTTATTTGAAGAGGATCAGTTCCGTATTACGACACTGGGTAGGTAGACGATCATAACAATCTGGACATGTTTGATTTGTGCTCCCCTGAAGTTCTTTGCCATTTCTTACTAAAATGCCAGAGATGGAGTTTTGTAGTTTCATGTTGTTCGGCTCTTGTCCAGCATACGTACCTTTAGTCATCGAGCGTGACTTCGATACACAGTCGAGCCTTTGTGTGTATACTCGCAGTGTCTATTTCTCATATCTGGTGTGCACTAACGCAAAACCTACGATGTTTGCAATGAAATCTTGCAGAGGATATCGATCCCGCTCTGTGCCGCACCATCACGGCACTGGATGACGTTCGACAGCAGTATGAGGTCATAGATACCAACGAAGCATTGACAGACGAAGAGAAAGAAGCACAGATCAATGCGCTCAGGCTCAACGGAGCGACCGTAGAAGACTTGTGCCTTGATTTTACTATCCCCGGCTACCCTGATATAGGTACAGTGACGCTCTCTTAACCCTTTTTACTTAAAAGTAATAGCTATTTGAAATGTTAGAGTAATTGTCGCGGCTGTTGATTATCTTTGATATCAGTTCGTACTCCACCTCGTTAGAAGGTTGCACTGTGCGAGTTTTCGCATATCCGATCGATATTTTCATCGCTCAAGCGGTTGATTGTCGTGTTACTATTTGCACTCAATGTACATCCCATTTTTTTTTGTCACAGAATTGATTCCTGGAGGTGCTGATCAGACCGTCGACATCCACAGGCTTGGACAGTACATTCGGTTGGTGGTTAAAACTATACTCGTAGACAGCGTTGCTCAACAAATGGAGGCATTTCGGTCAGGGTTTGACGAGGTAATATCCCTGACGGCACTCAAGGGTTTCACTCCGAACGAATTAGCGCTAATGCTGTTTGGTGCTGAAGAGAAATGGGACGTAGAAACACTCGCTGCGAATACAAAACCAGACCACGGCTACACTAGCGAAAGGTGAGTATCCTGCTGGGTACGTATTGTATGGGTCCGTGAGCTGTACTCGCGATTGCATTTGTGCTTGCCTCGTGTGATGTTTGGCTGCCTGAAGTCTCGCATATGTTGCATTGCATTGACTTCGGGCCAGTGAATGTGCGTCACTGCGAGCTCAAGTGTTGTGAGGTAAGTTGGACAATTGTCCTTGACTTGGAAATCCACTTTGTTTCTTCCTTTACCTGTAGCGCGGCCGTCAAGAACCTGTTCTTCATCATGGCTAACTATACCCCAGATGAGAAGAGAAAATTCCTGCAATTCATCACTGGAAGTCCTCGCTTACCGGTTGGAGGTGTGTATGCAAAAATAGTTCAGTCACTCTGTAGTGCACGTTATTCGGTCTAATGGTGCAGTGTCGCGTAAGCTGATCATTGTATTCAGCTAAGGCACATACAGTACATGTAGGCTCAGGCAGGAAGAGTTTCAGGCCTAAAGTTTGTTGTTGTTTATTGTGTGTGGCAACCGCCTACTGTCAATACGGATAGTATTATCTATCCAGCATCAAGTTTCACGAAATGATGGTCGGGGTTCTGGAAACTCGAAGGGAACGTATGTACTCGTGTGGTGGGTATTGGCTTGGGAATCAGCGATTAATATTACACATTAAGGAATTTGCTCAAACTTGTAACGTAATACCTTCCTACATTCCAGGTTTGAAAAGTTTGCAACCACCGCTTACGATCGTGCGAAAAGCTCCAGACGACTCTATGCAGCCCGATGATTTCTTGCCTTCAGTGATGACTTGCACCAATTATTTGAAACTGCCAGGTATGACACCATGAATCGAGAAATTGTACTACTTTCGTGCAAATCAATCTACTGGTGACCTACACATCATGTTGTCAGCATGTACAGATGTTTAAATCGTATTGTGAAGGGTTCAATGTACTAGTAAGAGCCCATAGGTCGTATCGACACCATATCGACACCATGCGTTTACCTCATGCTACGCCTGCTGCTGCTTCAATTTGTTCATGCAGACTACTCTAGTCGAGAGGTGATGGCAGAGCGACTTGTTACGGCCATCAATGAGGGAACGGGCAGTTTCCACATGTCGTAGAATGGCTCGACGAAGGCTAAATATCATATATTTACGACAGGCATCCCACCAACCCGATACAACGTACAACAGGAGACACATACTCACCCCGTGGTCTCGAGAATGGTTATGTGAGCGCACGTCGTGGAGATGGTCGCGTGCTTATGTGTAGATCGCTATTAAACCCGCAGTTCAAGTATATATGAGACCTATGTAGTACTTTTGCTTTGATAATATCCATCATATTGCGATAACCTTGTTGCTGGTGTTGGCTCGTGTGCCCTCTATGAAGAAAGCAAATGTGCGACAAACACCGCACTGGATTTTGTCCAGAATAAGTTCGGAATTAACAATGTGACTGTTTTCAGCTGGCATGTTTTAAAAGCTGTTGGTTATGATAGACTCGCATTGAATGTATCGAAATTCAGTGTGGCCATAAGCATCAAATTGAAACCCACTTTGTATTTCAACGCACGTACCCTAGTGAAGTAGACACGAGAGCTGTGGAATACAGTCACTGCTGTTTATTGTATTATCAACGCACGTACCC